AGCACTAACCTATCTCATTGCTTTTACCTAATCTGCTAGTAAACATATCTACCTAAAGATATTTTTTTAATACCATAAAACATACTGTGCCTAAAGTTCTTCCCAACCCACCTTGTCTACTTACAGTAAACAAGTCAAGTCCCAGCTTTGACTGACCCATGCCAGCATCTATAACCTCCTGTTAAATTTTCAAACTAGTTTCTTTGAGCTCTTTCTGGTATGCTGCCCCTCATGCTTGGAAGAAGCTCCCATGAGTTTCCACAGAACACTTCATTGCTTTCCTCAAATCCCTCTTTAAAACTCTCTTTTACCATGCTGCCTACAGAAAGCTTGACAGGGAAGTGACTTCAGGTGAGCTAAGACCACTATTTATCATACCATCAATTTTGCCTCCTTGTACTCCCTCTCTTTTTGTATCCATCTGTTGTGTTACGCTTAGATGATAAGTTCTTTGCAGAGTGCCTTTTTGTTCTGCATTTTGCAGTACCTAGAACAATGGGGCTCAGGTCCATAAAGATAAGTTGCAGAAGAGAAACAAAGACACTGCTTCGTTATGTATCATCTCTGCTGTTCATAGAGGTCTTGGGTGAAATCAAATGCTGATGCTAATCAAGTCAAGAGAATCACTGCTATGATTTAAAGAACATTGTATAATTATTTGCAAGATTAGAGCATTATTTTGACTCTGATCCTGAAAAGATCCTCCTATAGCAGAACATTTACTCACATGAGTAAACTGATGAAGATTAGTGAGACTGTTCATACAAAATTACAGGCATATCTTTGCATATTCAGGATAGCTAAGACTTTAAAAAAGAAATAAAAACCTTATTGTGGCCTACTTGAATAGTATCTGAAAAAATATGTATGTTTTCTGAACTAGGTGGTACTTGGGAGCTACCTCTGTGTGCAGACTGAGTCACAGGAAATTTGCCTAAAAGTTTATTTACTCAACCTCTCAGACTAATGCCAACCTGGGGTAAATGGTGTCTAGACGTGCTTATTCAGTTTATGAACAGTTGGTGATAAAACAGGCAGAATGGCAGAGGAAACAATTCTGTCAAGCAGTTTCTTTTACTCTAATTAAACCAATTGATTTCATGTATCCAAAGTAGTAAAATAATTAGTCTTTGTCTGTCACTTATGTGCTCTTTGTTTTCTACCCAAAAGGGAGTGTATTAGGGGGGTTGTACCAGTTCATTTCTTTGTAGATTACCTTACCCTTTAAGACATATTAACACTGTGACTTTTTACTCTGTATAAAACATTATATTTAAACAGATTTTCATCTGACAATCGTTGTTTTTATTTGCCTACAGTCTTTGCTGAGCATTCGCGGCTCCCTGTTTTCCCCAAGGCGCAATAGCAGAACAAGTCTTTTCAGCTTCAGAGGTCGAGCAAAGGACGTAGGATCAGAAAATGACTTTGCTGATGATGAGCACAGCACTTTTGAAGACAATGAGAGCAGAAGAGATTCTCTCTTTGTTCCTCATAGACATGGTGAACGGCGCAACAGCAACATTAGTCAGGCCAGTAGGTCATCCAGGACAGTACCTCCACTTCCAGCAAATGGGAAGATGCACAGCACTGTGGATTGCAATGGAGTAGTTTCTTTAGTCGGTGGGCCGCCAGCTTTGACGTCACCTACTGGACAGCTTCTGCCAGAGGTGATGATTGATAAAGCAGCCACTGCTAGCAACGTAAGGAAGTCCGCAATAGCTCAGGCATGATGTCGTCTCCCTGTATGATCAGCTACTGTTTCTACAAAATTTAGTCACTTGGCAATGATTCTGTTTCTGGCCAGGCTGTGAATGCTCCTTTCATATATTCCAGTTATAAGCTAAAATAGAAACTAAAATTGTCTAGCTCTCTTTAACTAAATATGTGAAAATATATGCTAATTTATTGACAATTAACAGAATAGCATAGTAAACCACTGAATAAATGTAGTATGTGTTGATTCTTTATGCTAACTGAAGACTTAATTGGAAGGTTCTGTATTTGTACATCAGATAGCATATCAAAATGAAAAAAAAATTTATTTACTTAATGGAATATATTAAATGAGTATTTAACTTCCTGCTGACCATATATGAAACTTTTGATTTAAGACTTATAGTACAACTTACATGGGTTATGACAGTGTTCCTGTAACATAGTTAATTTTTCTTGGGTTTTTTTTTTTTTTGGAAACGTCAACATTGTTAAATATTTTTTCTTTTCTTTTATTTGAAAACATTTTATCTTGTTTGATAATTCTTAATTTGAAATTAAGAATTATCATAAGAAAATACACTTACTCCTTGGGCTTTTACTGCTAGCTGTGCTGGCTGTGCATTTTCATGTTCAGAAAAAGACTTCACTGCCTAATTAGAAAGGTTTCTACAGCAGAGCTCATTGACAAGCATTTTGGAACTTTTTATAGTCTAAAAACCGTTTATAGTCTAAAATCTGTTTTAATGCCTCAGCCCTGTTTCAGCAAAAAACATATTCTTTAAGCACCAGTCCGATCCTACTGATGTATTTGGCTATTTACTATATACAAAGTTAGGCATGCGTTAGTCTATTGCAAAACCACAACAGAAATGGAGCGTGTTGCAGGACAGCAGAGTGTTTTAAGTCATTATACTTCTATGATAATTTACAGTGCTATTAAATGAACAATCAATAGGCTATTTTATCAGTGTTTTATTTTTAGGGCACTACTACAGAAACTGACTTAAGAAAGAGACGGTCTAGTTCTTATCATGTTCCTATGGACTATCTAACAGATCCTAGTGCAAGGCAAAGAGCAATGAGTATAGCCAGCATGCTTACAAACACAATGGAAGGTATGTAACACAGAATTTTTGTATGACATAAAGTGCTATTAAATGTATGATCCATTAAGTAGTAGTGGTGTTTTAAGGCAGCTATTTCAGCCTAAAAGGTATAGGCAAGGTGAGATTTGTATATAGAGTTATTATTTTTAAAGATGGGCTGATATATTTGGAAGAGCAGTCAAGCTTTCAATATACTAATAGGTTTGGGGTGGAAGCAGAAAACTTCCAAGTTAAATGCAAGCAGAAAGCAGTTGATCAATTCAGTGTTTCTCTAGAGAAGTTAAGTTTTGGGGTAAAAGCTCTCTTTAGGTTACTAAAATGCCTATGCTTCTTGCAGTAAAAAATCCCCTTCTAACAATTCAACAGACGTACTGTTTCACAAAGGAAGGATCATGTTGTTCTCTCTGTAAGGCTAAATACAATGAATCTGAATCATGGAATTAAACAACTACTTATAAGAAAGGGCAAAACATCACTTTGAATCTTAAATGACTATGCCTAAAACAGCAAATAGGAAGGTAATAATAAGCAGTTTTGCAGATGTGGACCATAATACTTTCTAAATAGTTGTCTGACTTCAGGTTTTTTCTAAATGTTTATCTTTCATGAGGAAACTTTTAAATACTTTATTCCTTCTATGTATAGAGTTTTAGAATGGTTTGGGCCCTTAAAGATCATCTAGTTCCAACGCTCCTGCCATGGGCAGGGACACCTTCCACCAGACCAGGTTGCTCCAAGCCTCATCCAGCCTGGCCTTGAACACTGCCAGGGAGGGGGCAGCCACAGCTTCTCTGGGCAACCTGTGCCAGGGCCTCACCACCCTCACAGTAAAGAATTTCTTCCTAGTATCTAATCTAAATCTCCCCTCTCAGTTCGAAACTGTTACCCCTTGTTCTATCACTACCCTCGCTGATCAGGAGTCCCTCCCCACCTTTCCTGTAGGCCCCCTTTAAGTACTGGAAGGCCACTATAAGGTCTCCCCAGAGCCTTCTCTTCTCCAGCCTGAACAACCCCAAATGTCTCAGTCTGTCTTCATAGGGAAGGTGCTCCAGCCCCCTCATCATCTTCGTGGCCCTCCTCTGGACCTGCTTGAGTAGGTCCACATCCTTCTTGTGCTGGGGGCCCCAGAGCTGAATGCAGTACTGCAGGTGGGGTCTCACCAGAGCAGAACAAAGGGGGAGAATCACTTCCCTTGACCTGCTGGCCACGCTGCTTTTGATGCAGCCCAGGATGAGGTTGGCTTTCTGGGCTGCGAGTGCACATTGATGGCTCATATTCAGTTTTTCATCCACCAACATCCCCAAGTCCTCTGCAGGGCTGCTCTCGATCCACTTATCACCCAGCCTGTATGTCAGATTTCTAAGGCAACTTTCTGGTTTGCATCCTATGTGGCATTTGCTTGTGAATGTTTTTTTTATCTACTGAATATTTAGTATTCTTTTTACATAAGATTTAAAACATAGTGGAACATTATTTTGAATTGTAATTTATTTTGACTGACAGTACCTCAAGGAAATGGAACACAGAAATATGTTTAAAATGTTATTTTCATTTTTCTCTCTAGAACTGGAAGAATCCAGACAGAAGTGCCCGCCATGCTGGTATAAATTTGCTAACACTTGCTTGATTTGGGACTGCTGTACTCCCTGGCTGAAAGTCAAACATATTGTAAATTTGATTGTGATGGACCCATTTGTTGATCTGGCCATTACTATCTGCATTGTCCTAAACACCCTGTTCATGGCCATGGAACACTATCCAATGACAGAACAGTTTAGTGGTGTGCTTTCCGTAGGAAATCTTGTAAGTCTTTCGTGATGTGCCATGTATGTGAAATGCCTGTTTCTTAAATAATTCTTCTGTGACCTATGTACATGTGTTTAAAAGAAAGGGTTGACTAGATATTCATAAGCTCGGGATGGCTGAATTTAAATTTATGCTGTGCTGAATTTAAATTTATGCTCTACTGAATCCCTCTTTGTTGACTTTTGTGGATTTCACCACTCTTGCTTTGTGGAGCAAAAGATAGTAAGATTTATTGAGTCAATATGGATTTTGATTTTTAAAACCTTCATCTTCTGTCACTGAAGCTGGTTAAAGGAATTTATCTACTATTTTTTCTTGGATATATACCTACAAATCATAAAAACTTTCAGTTCCATTCCCACACCTCTTCTGCCCCTCACTAGCACATCCTGAGGTCCTGGGTGTTGACAGAATTCCAGAGGGGAAAGATCTAGTAAGAATGACAGATTTACTGCAAATCTGCAGGAAATGGTGAAATGGTGACAATGCCTTCCGCAGGTCATCCTGAAGAATAGTTCTGCTCAACTTTCATTATAGTTTTTTTTCTTAATAAAATTATTGTCTGTCTTATAAACTTATCTTTATCCCTAAAAGCCCCAAGGGCAAAGATGAGATCTAAGGAGGAAAAACTGAACATTAAAATCAGAAGAGATTGTGTGTATCAGTATTTATACATGCATATTAGCAGGCTAGATAAAAAGCATATTTTTCTGATTTACCTCTTTTTGTTTGGAAACCCAACATTGTGATGCATATGTAAGCTTCAATCGGAATTTAATTCCTAACCCCAATGTATATGGAGAAGCTATTCAGATTTATCATGGATTGCTTGCTGAAGTATAACTTAGCAGAAGTTGATACCATTAGTTTTTTGTTTTTTTTTTTCTCATTAAACTGGACTAAGAAACTGTATTTTCTTTGCAGGTGTTTACTGGAATTTTCACAGCAGAAATGTTTCTCAAGATAATTGCCATGGATCCTTATTATTATTTCCAAGAGGGCTGGAATATTTTTGATGGTTTTATTGTGAGTCTTAGTTTAATGGAGCTTGGCCTTGCAAATGTAGAAGGATTATCTGTCCTTCGATCATTTCGATTGGTAAATATATAAAATAAACCACATTTCTATATTTCTCTATTTGTGCATGTATGTTGTGCATTTTTAGGTGGCATCTATTACATCAATTTTGGTTTACATATTATCTTAGTAACGTCTATTTCTTCTTTAAGACATTGTCAACATCAATTCTGTTCTTGCAGTGAGTATACTTTAAGCATTATCTCTTTTTTAAATAGTAGTATCTCTTAGAGTCTTTTCTCCCTAGATGAGGGAATACAAAATGCAAGAGCCACAGGTCCTCACTACCTGCAACTGAAGATTAATAAATCACTTAGTAAATAAGGTATTAGTTAATAAAACTTTATTGACAGTTTTAGCTGACAGTTTCCATTACCAGTTTGCTTACATAGTTAGTTTCAGAAGGGAGTAGTGTTAAGATTTTTCTTTGGATAGGGATTTTTCATCACTACCAGTCCTCTCCTTACCATCTTCTGCAAGGGTCCAGCCACTGTCTAACGGCTTTTCTGTTTGGAAGTGACTACAATATCTCTGTCTATTATTAGATATTTCTGTCATGAATAGGAACTTAAAAACCTTGGTCTTGCTGAAGACTAGGCTAGTGTGCAAGTTGATGTTCAAATCCTCTTCTGAAAAGACCTACATAATAAAAGACATGAAGTTAGAGTTCCTAGTTATCAAGTTAAACTTTTGCCTTAAATAAAGCAAAAAATGTTTAATTTCTATTTAAAGTTAAGTAAACCTGCTTTAAAAAAAAAAAAAAAAAAAAGAGGCGGTTTAAATGAGTCCCTTTGCTGTTTCTCTGTATAGCGTTATATTGCTTTTTGTCCAAAGTCTGATATCTGTCTGGATTGACTTCTGTCTCAGTAATAGAATTCTGCCTTTAACTTTCCATCTATATATTTTATTTATGTCTCATCCATGAAATAAGATTTAAATTTAGATTCCTTTTAGTGTTCTCCTCTTTCAATTGTCTGAACACTTGCTGTATCTTTCCAAATAATTTCATTTTTGTCTGTTTCAAGTTGTACTTTAATCTAACACTTTCCTTTGTCTGTTTTTCTTATTGTTGTATGACAAACTTTGTAAGACACATTACGCTTGTTTTAAATGACAGAAAAGATATTTAAAGACACTTGCGAGTAACTTGTAGATCATTAACGGCTCTAGCTTGTTTCTCTTTCTAGGGAAACCGTTTCTTCCATCTCTCTTCCAGTTAAGACGAAACAGACCTGGAAGAGTCTATACACTTACAATGCTATTAAACGGATCACATTTCATATATACGGGTTTATTTTTAGTAATATTCTCTCAGAGTTAACTAAAGGAGAAAGACTGCTTTGTCCAACAAGTGCAACTTGTTTATAGATAATTAAAGTCACCAGAAGAGGCAAAGTCTGAACTGGAGACTTTGTGATAATTGCAATGTAATTGAAATGAGCATAGAGATGGTATTTTTGATTTCTTATGACTTGAATCGGGACTTAAGACTGCTGATGTCTAGTGCTGTACAAAGAACTGGAAACATAAATTTTGTGATTAAAGTTTCTAAAGATTACATGAGACATTACTTAGACACAGTTACTGAAAAATGAAATGTATAGCAATAATTTCATTGCAGTTAGTAACATGAATAACCATACTATTCTTCTGTTTTGCAGCTTCGAGTTTTCAAATTGGCAAAATCTTGGCCAACTCTAAATATGCTGATTAAGATTATTGGCAACTCAGTGGGGGCTCTGGGGAATCTGACCCTGGTGCTGGCTATCATTGTGTTCATTTTCGCTGTGGTTGGGATGCAGCTCTTTGGGAAAAGCTACAAGGAATGTGTCTGCAAGATCTCTAGCGACTGTGAACTTCCACGCTGGCACATGCATGACTTTTTCCACTCTTTCTTGATTGTGTTTCGAGTGCTGTGTGGAGAATGGATAGAAACAATGTGGGACTGCATGGAGGTTGCTGGCCAAACTATGTGCCTTACAGTCTTCATGATGGTCATGGTGATTGGCAACCTCGTGGTACGTAATCAGTGGGGATTTTTAAAAACCATTAGAACCATTTTTCATTATTTAGAAATCAGAGATGAAGACTAGAGAAGGACTTTAGGATATCATGTAATTCATTTGCCCTTTCTCTAAACCAGGTTCAAATATACCTTAATCATTTATGAAAAACATTTGTCTACCTTTTCTTTTAAATTTTCAGTAAGTTTATGACCTTTTTAGTAAGACCAGTGCTGAATTATGCTTATGTTTAAAAATGCCTTTTAAAAAAAAGGTCTAAGAAATCACCTTTTACAGCCAATTAAACTGACTGGGCTCAATAGTGATGGAAAATAGTCAGTCTTCATGACAACATTTGTAATACTTAAAGGCTTACTGTTTCCACTTTCAGACTTCTCTTTCTGAAACAAAATAAACCTAGCTGTTCATTTTTTCTCATAGGTGATGATTTCTAAACTACTTATCCCTTTTGCTATTGGCCTTTGAATTCCTTCCAAACAGCATTTTGGGACAAGTACCAAATAATTAAGAATAATTATACTTCCATGTCTTACACCAAACATTCCTTGTGGTATGTCCCCAAGTGAAATTTCTGTACCAACATCGCTTTCCTGATGCAGCCTATATGCCCTTTTCTGCAGTGCTTCCACCTTGCCAGTTTTCACACCTACTTTTTAGTTTTTGTAACCAACATTTCCACACTAGTACTTCAGAATTAAATGCCATATTGACTTTGAATCATTTCACCAATGTACCATGGTTATGCCTAATTGTAGTTCTTTCTTGTTGAATGCTAGCATCCCTTCTCCTTTTGGTATCATCCATGAGTTTTATAAATATGCTTATCCACAGGCATAAATACCAAGTTTAACAGGACTAACGTGAGACTCTTGTGGTATACCTTCTAAAATACTCTGCAAGTTTGAACAGGAAGAATTAAAAAATATAATTTAAATATTATTTTTTCATCAGTTTTGCATGTAGTCTGTCATAATTACATGTAGTCCAAATTTCCCTTGTATGTTTGTAAAATTTCAGGCGAGAAAGCTGAAATAGTTTCGTAAAATTGAGGTGTATCACATCTGTGGACTCTTTATCTCTTAGCTGGTTTTCCTGCCCAAAGCAAAAATAGACTGATAAATTCTTGGCAAATAGGTGAGTTTATTATATTCTGAATTAGAGTCATTGAAACTATGGTCTGTTGAACTGTAGAAGACTGGAGCCTGCCTGCATTCCTCTCGCTTATGAACACTACAGTGGATATATCTTGCATAAATTACTACATCATGTTGTATCCTGCCTCCTTATGTCATTCTCCATTTTAAGGAGCAGACCTGCCCTGCTTCCAGTGTGTAGGAGAATGTCAAGGAACAGCTCAGATTTTCACCTATATTAGTCAAGTTAAACCAGCTAAAAATGTTTTTGGCAAGTTAGAACAAAATATAGGGGACAGGGATTATGGACTGGAAAGAACAGCAGGAAGGTGGGTTGAAATAAAGTGCTAGCTGTGAAATAAAAATTATGTCATATTGAACAACCCATACTGGAATTACTTTTATGACATAAAAATAAGAGATCCAGTACATTTTCTCCTTACTGTCTTTCAGGTACTCAACCTCTTTTTGGCCTTGCTGCTGAGCTCATTTAGTTCAGACAATCTTGCTGCTACAGATGATGATAATGAAATGAACAACCTACAGATTGCTGTGGCAAGGATCCAGAAAGGCATAGATTATGTGAAGAGAAAAATGCGTGAATTCATCCAAAAAGCCTTTGTTAGAAAGCAGAAAGTTTTAGATGAAATCAAACCTCTTGAAGACCTAAACAACAAAAAAGACAGCTGTATTTCCAACCACACAATAGTAGAAATAGGTAAAAACCTTGCCTATCTTAAAGAAGGGAATGGAACTACCAGTGGCATAGGCAGCAGCGTGGAAAAATATGTTGTTGATGAAAGTGATTACATGTCATTCATAAACAACCCAAGTCTCACTGTGACAGTGCCAATTGCTGTTGGGGAATCAGATTTTGAAAATTTAAATACAGAGGAGTTCAGCAGCGAGTCAGACCTGGAAGAAAGCAAAGAGGTAAGACTGTTTCTACATTTAAAATAGTGTGATGCTTTTCTTTTTTTCCTAAGGTTACTAGTGTTGAATTCAAATCTCTATTTGATTCCTGTATAACAGATATACAAACTTGTAATGGTATTTAAGGTAAATTGATGTAAAGGTATGGGTTTTGAATGAAATGGTAGTACAGTATTGCATTTAGAGTAATAACGAAGATGCATAAGACAATTTTTTAGAAAATTCATACTTTTTCCATTTTATTTAGTTAAATCATTAACAAATAAATGAACCAATTTAATAGCCCTGGATACCAAAAGTCTTACAAAATGTACAGGGGTTGTGCAAGTTTCTCCATCCTTATTTAATCAGTGCACTTTATTTACTCTTTCATCTGCTTTCTGGAGTGCCTTTAGTCAAATTAACAATTCATTCTAATGCTTTTAACCTTTTTGATATAGTCAAAATACCTCTAGATACATCATAAATACATTTGAATACCGGACCAACATCACTAAACAATTTCATATCAATCACTAATAATCCATCTGATAGTAGCAGAACCACTGAAGAAGTGAAGTAATGGCCTTACGGTGAAAAAGTTATGAAGCTTTCTATCTCAGCATAAGATCCTTTCATATGACTACCCATTGTCATTTCCAAAGCTTTAAGATATTTGAATCTGTTACCTGCTGTGACTGTAATAAAATGTACCTCTTTCTGGCACAACGTGGTGCCAAATGGACAAATCCAAGCTAGCATTTAGGTACGGTGGATACTGAAGCCATTATTGTTGTGTGAACCCAGTGCTCTGTGCTGCACAACTGTACATGGTGGAGACATGCCACCCCAAAGTGGACTAAGTCTGTGCTATGCTTAGTACTGATGCTAGTTCATTCAGCATTAGCATGGGTATTTTTGAACAGTACTGCATGCTACAGTGTAGACATAAACTAGCATAAAGAATTTTCATAAGTGATTTCCTCGTGCTTGGATCTGAGGGTGTAAATATGGCTAAGATTCTAGTAATTCTCACCCTGAGTTCTTTTTTTTTTGTACAGACTGCATCGCACATTTAGTCATGTTTTCTCATTTCTTATCAGAAATGTCTTTATCGTTCTTTTAAAAATATTTCTTTTTTTTCAGATTGTTTGTATTAGTGTTTATCTAACTCTTCAAAACCATGACTTGGGTGTAGAACAAAGCAGAAGTTATTGTAGTTTAATTGTTCTATGTAATGAAGAGGGTGATTATATGTATGTTTCTTGGTTTGAGTGTAGGATTTTGGCCAAATCTATTCTATCTTTGTACATAGCATAAGAAGACTAATCTTCTTCAGGCATGTTTACAGAACATAGGGCTAGTGCATTCTTCTGTCCTTCCATTGTTCTGCTGTTCCATTATTCTATTGTTGCGTTGTTAACTGTTTCAAAATTTACTGCTGCCAAAGGAGCAGCAAATTCTACTGCTAATTTGGTCAAATTCCACCTGTCGCTGAGATCATTCATAATGATTGCATATGACAGTAATGGCACAGGGTATTTTTCTTTTTGTAAATCGTGTAGTTTCTTGGTATACACCTGATCCTTCTGGGTTTGTTCTTTTTTGCCTGCTGATCATGATCAAGTCCATCTATCACTTGCAGCCTTTTCCCTGCTTAGCAACTAGTGATAGCCAGAGGACATACTGAAAGTGTGGGGATAAAGTGTCTGAAGTTCAATTCTAGGAAACAGAATACTTCGTATTTCTCCAACACAAAATATTTATTGCTGTCTTAGTGGAGTAACATATACCTATGTGTCATTCTGTATTTGTCTTTAAGGTTAGTATAGCATTTTTATTAGTTTCAAGGGTGCTGTCAACCTAAACCTATCAAACCTAATCATAAACTGCAGCTCTGCAGAGAAGGACCTGAGAGTCCT